CCTCAGAGCACGGCGAGGACCGAGCGCGGCCCTGTCGTCCCCCGCATCCCGCCGGAAGCCAACTCCCGACCTGGAAGTGATCGCGGGCACGGGACGCGGCGGAAGTACCGGCTGGAAGGAGGCTTCCCTTTCCCGGTGGTCCTTACGGGCCTCGAGTGCCCCTGGTCCCTCACCCGCCGCCCGCACGACCGCCTCCAGCCCCGGCGGGCTGGGCAGCGCTGCCACTGCTGCCCGCAAAAACCGGATTGGTCGCCCGGTGTGCAACAAGCACACTCGCGAGAGACAGAGTATCTTATTTCAGAGTTGCACAACCCTGGGTGGTCCCTGATAATCCACAGATCAAGCGCCCCAACTATCAGAGCTTTTTTCTATTTATACATTTTAGCAAACAAAGGGATTAGTGTTCATTGGCTACAAGTTACACAGTTCTCTTGCCAATCAGTATTCTATCTTCTACTGGTCAATGATTCTCTCCTATCGTGCTAATTGATCCCATGCTGAGTCTCTCTCCTTTGGGCCGGTGGGTTTTTCGGGTCGGTGCTCCGTGGGTTGGTCGGGATCTGCCCCTGCCGGGGGGCAGCTGGAGCACTTTTCAGCGCGGTTACTGAGTGGTCTTAATTTGTTTCTGCCTTGTCTTGGGAATTCTGCCAGATATCATTATGGCCCCTAAATTCTGCATCCTTTGTGTAATGTGGGACAGCTGCTATGTCCACAGTGGTACATCCTTCTTCCCAAGCTTTGCTAACTGGGTCTGAGAACAATGAAACATGTCCAGCGCTAAACCTTAACAAGACAATTCTTCAAAAAGCAATTTGCTTTCCTAACACTTGGACATCACCTAGAGCTTGCTGAGTCCTTTGTGTTTCATGAGTTAAATCTCCTGTCTTGCTGGTTACACTTGAAAGCAGATAAAGATCAAAATACCAATGGATATTCTTTCTTAAGAATATTTTTACATACTCACATGTTTTGCAACAGTTGGGTAATGATTTTAAGGAGTGTGTTGCCATGGATCCTGCCTTTCCTTAGCTGAATAGAGGTTCAGCCTGAGTGGTCCATTTAGTTTCAGTCACTACATTGTATTGTAATTGTTTCAGTAAATATGGGTTGAACACAGAATTGCATGCAAAATTTGGAGTGTTGAAAGGGAGCTGGCAGACTTGCTTGACTGCATTCTGATATATTTTTTGATGTGTGGAAATTGAAGTGACTTTTACACAAAATCAAAAGCCACACAGCAGGTCTGATGGCCTATGTCCCACAGAAGATTTCAGAGCATGGACCAACTTGTTTGGCATCCTCTCTCTGGGTTCCTACACTCATAGGGGTGCAGAGTTTCACGTGGGGAAACCATTGATGTGTGGACTTCAATTGTTTGCATATCTTATTCCTACTCTCAAAAACTGTGGAGAGGTGATGTATTTGCATGTTAAGAGGCAACGTAACTGCTTAGGGAGCAATCTGACTTTCAAAGCATTGGAGCATTGTGTGAAAATAAGCTTGAAAGTATTTATCTCTATTTAAAAGTGTTCTTACTTGGTGACAAGATGACATGATGATTTTATCAAATTACCTGTTTTTATGAAATTACTTGTATATAGGTTGTTCCAAGGTAGCCAAACCCCAGGAATTATATATTTAAAAATAAAAATAAAAATCTAAGATCCAGAGCCTAAGAACTGGTAGCAGAAGCTGGAGGAAAAGAAAATTGTCTGTATTGCAGGACCTAAGTGTAAGCTGCAGCTCCCACCTAGTTTGTATATGAAACAACTCTGAGAAAATACTCGGAGAAAAAAAGATTGTGCCATAACTCCCTGAGGTATCTGAGAACTTGGCAGTGCACTGCTGCTGTGGTATTTAAACATAGCTGGAATCTTCTTGTTAGAGGAGTCCTGACTACACCAGCAGCAGAAGGGTGTTAGTTCAATACTGGGAAGGCAGAAGAATTGCAACAATGTGAAGAAATGTAAGGGTGGTCAGGTTCTTCCTGAGTCTTTTTGCCCGCGCATGGATTGCACTGAGGTCGTTCATTAAAAGTATGAGCTACTGGAATTTTAGGAAGTCCAGCAGGTTCATCTTTAAAGCATGGGTCTGCACAAATGATTCAGGGAAATTTCTAGTTGATGAGACTTTTGTTGGTTTTTTAATAACAAAATTAAACTGCTGCTGCTTCAAGGGTTTCACTTTCCATGGCATCTTTTAAGGGATTAAATAGTTTCATACCAATGTGACTAGTTTTTCATTGTATTTATCCTTAAACAGGAATTATATTTTGTGTGGAATGTTAAGAACCAAAGTAATTTTTACTACATGCTTTGGAATTTGTTATACTTCCTATTGTGATTTACTGTAATAATACATACACGATACAGGATTATTGTTTTCTCTGTTCTCTTTGCTTCCAGTCTCCAGGACTGATGTGTAGAGTATCTGGTGCTGACAGTACATTGCACAACACTTCTCTGTGATATTATTAGATTTGTTGAGGTAAGCTTGACAGATTTTAAGGTCTTGGTTTAAATTAAGCACTTCTGAAATGTGAGTTTAAAAGTTTTAGTCTTACACTTATTTTTGCTCATATGATGTTTTCTTCACTTTGTATTTTAAAGTAAAATCTGTCACAAATTAATTAATTTTTTACAGATTTTTTTCACAGCTTGTTGTAAATTGCAAAACAGCCAGCATGTTTGATTTTGTACAAATGTTAGCATTTGAATCCTGCAAGAGGCTTCTGTATCACCATGTTCAGTCAATTAATAAATTATATTAAGACAGTCAAAAATACCATGCCGTAGCTTAAAAAAATTCTACCTTGCTCTTGTGTTCAGTAGTTGCCTTCAAGTCTTACGTTCACAGAGACTTTGGTTGAAGTAAACATCATAATCTGTTTACCTTTTAAAATCCCGTTTCTTGGGTGACAGCAGGGCAAATAACCAGCAGTAGCAGGTCAATCTCTCACTAGCCAGAAAACTTAGTTGAGCAACTATTTCATGTTATTACTGTTAGTTATTCTTTGTTCATATACCTTTACAGGTGAGGGACTTGCAAAATAATCCACTGCTTGGCTCAGCCAGGAGCCTATATTTTGTCAAATATTTATTTTAATGTTTCTTATTTCTACTCTTGCTTACACACAGATGTGTGAAAACAGTATAAAAATGTGGAGCAATCATCTGAGCAAGAAGAAACAAAGCACAAAGACAAGCCTAGGAACTCTCTCTTGCAGGTAAGGAGAACCAGTCCACTGAATCACTTGCTTAGTGTTAAGTATTACAGATTACTCAGCAACGTGTTCTTCTGTAGAGCCTTTTTGAAGATGATCTGTTTGACAAAAATTCAGGATGTATCTGATGGGAGGTAAAACTGCTCTAATGTGCAGTGGAAGCTCATGACAGTTTTAGTCATGAGATTTTTGATTTTTGTTTTGAGAAAATCTTAATGCACTACCTTAATGTACTAATGTACAAACCATTTTAAGTTAATGCGCTAGTCTATGAATTGAGCATCAAGTAAATGGTCACCACAGCTCTGCATGGCTGAGTAACTGTATCTGCTGCCTTAATAAATTACATCAAATGCAGACAATGGCAGTCTCCACAGATATTCCCCGCACATTGTGTCAGTTTGTCGCTAGTTTCTGGAAATATATGATGATCTTGCGTAGCACTGCATTAGGAACAATGAAGTGACAACACAGACTCTCTAGCCTTAGTTGCAAAAGAGAGCACCTTTTATTCTTCCAGATCTTCTTTTATAGACAGTTCCAAGAAGGTCCGAAAAAGTAAACCTCTCATTGGTCATCAAACCAACACATCACCATCATTGGACAATTGGGAACACCCCTTGACTGTTTCGTACAAGAAAACAACAAGGTGACAAACAACACCTGCAAAGATTGTTTTCTCTCTCCAAAGACTGTTTGGATTCCTCCTTACGATTTCCCAGGCCATACTTTCTCAGGCCAGTGTGAGAAAGTTGTGACTTTGTTTCACACAGACACTGTGCTGCCTGCCTGATTTCTTGCATTTAGCATGCATAGTTTTGTCTTTTTTTTTTCTTACTCGCTCTGAACATAAGCTAAAATTAAACATTAGATTTCTGTTAATCTTATCCTCAGCAGCCCTCCTGCTTGAGTACATCATTTACACGTTCACTTTGGCTTTATCACAGATAGAACACCAACCAATAGAGATATTTTATTCATTACTTGGGGCGTTTTTAATGGTCATTTTTTCCTCTTAGTTCCAAATCTCTATTTTACTGCAAATGTGCCAAAATCTACATTGACCCTCCATCAAAATTTACGCCCTGAGATTTTAGTGTATTGACTGGGAAAGGGAAATGGTCGTGGGGAGGCAGTAGAAGAAGAGGATTGCATTGTGATTGTACTGCATCTTATAAGCCAGTTATAAATGCATATCCAAAGTGTAGCTTAAGGAAGATTTCTCAGTAAAAAGTTTCAAATGCACAGAAACAGAAGATAGAGGGAAATTTATAACAAATGAATATAGGACACAAATAGTGAGGTCTCTCACTCAAGGTTTCATGGTAATTTATGGAGCCACACAGAGATTTTTAGTTCATGTGTATATTTGACTCAGGCTACTAGCAGTCTCCTGTATTTTTAATGACTAATAACATTTATAATTCAAAGCAATTAGTAAACAGAGATGTTAACCCATCCATATCATAATTCAAACATAGGAAGGTTGCACTAACCTTGCCAGAGCAGGAATATACAATTTTTGAGGTCTAAGACTTCCATAAAGGACATAGTTATACTGCTGTTAGTATAAAGAGTGGCACATAAAGGCAGCACTGACCTTAGGACTCCAGCACACCTGTGTCTGGACACAACTGTTGTGGGATTTGGCATCGCTTTGCATCACACCCTCCCAAATGATTTGGGGGTTTGGTACAAAATGAGGTAAGTTGTTAAGTAAGTAAATAGGGAAAAGGAAGGAAGAGATACTGTATTACTAATACAAACATCTTTTTAGAAAACAAATTATTTAAAATACTTTGTTATCTGTGTAAATAAGGTAATGAATTATATACGATAGTAATATATTAAGGAAGTAAATAACAGCTTAGAGAGCAAAAACTTAATGTTTTTGAGAACTTCCCAACCTTTGCACATTTGCAACAGAGAATGGAAAACTGTATTTTCTTTATCATAGGTTTAGAATGAAAGATAGATTTGTGAGCAGGTAGAGAACATGTGAAAGCAAAAGCCACTAAATACCTGCTAATCAGGTATAAGAAGGAGCAACATTTTTTCTTATAAAACATAGGTGGTTCTATTAGAACTGTGTTGCTGTAAGTGGTTCCAGAAACCTTGGTAAATAAGGTATCCATTCCCTTTAAAAACTATGTTGTAGAAGATTCTAAACAGTGATTAATTTTTTTTTGTTTTCTTATGGATTGCTGAAGACTTAAAAAAGTAAACAGGTGTGCATGCCTAAATGAAAAGGCACATGTGTGAAGCAAGCTACAGTGGTTAAAGTATAATACTTCTACCAGTGTAGAGGTACCAGTGTACCATCAGATTTTCATCAGGTTAGATTTTGCAGCTTGTTGCCCTCCTTCCTCTTTAAAGGTGAACTGAAAAGCTTGGTTTATTTACGTGATTCTGTGACTGTTCTAAATGCATGTATTAATTATACACAGCTTGGGTTCCTGATACAATCTTACAAGCAATATGCAAACAAATGCCCCATTGGCTTTAAATGAACAAAAGAATGTTAACCATTACAGTGGTGTGCAGAAAAATTCACATCGTGAGAGGTTTATGTCCAAGAAGGAGACAGAAGGGTCCTGTAACTTTATTCATGAACAAAAGGAGAGGCCATGAGGCATTTCCCATGGGGTCTCTCAGACTGTTGGAGGACACAATTATACTGATTTTCCCAGCCACATCACCCTCTTTCCTTCTCCACTGGCTTGGTACTCGGCAGGTACTTGGAAGGTACAGGCTTCCCGATTTGCCTACTACATCTCCCCCTTAACACGTGTGTGCGCACACACACCGCCCCTTGCATAAGATAGCTCTATCAAGTCTATTCTTTTTCTCGAAGTTCAGGAATTTAGCATGACCTTGGCTGAGCAATAGTCCCTGTCAATTAGTAACATTTTCTGAAACTGGTAGTTTCTCCTGTTACTTCTTTATCTACAGTCTCTGGCCCTATCTACAAGCAGATTCACAGCACCTGTTTGTAAAGACACATTCATCTTATTCCTTTCAATGTTATGACTTGGGCTAAACAGCACCTGCCGAAGTGCCGGTCCGAGACGTTTCTGTAGTGAAAACAGTCTATACTTGCCGCAGTCAAGAGGTTTTTCGGTGTGGGTCCGAGCGTCGGGAAGGCTGAGGGCAGGGGAGGGCTCTGAGGGGCTTTACAGAGGGAATTGGCTTGGGCACTTGTTCACGAAGCTAGTGTCTCCCGGGCGAAATCCGGCCGGCAGGAGGGGCGGGTGCCCGTCCGTAGGGACACGCAAAGTGCAGAGGGGACACCCGCTCCTCGGGGAAAGCCGATGTACAGCGGGAGAGCTTGGCGGCCCCGCCCGGCGAGCAGCGAGGCGGGACGTGCCCCGGCCCTCGGCGCGGGGAGCGGGCAGCGAGGGCAGCGCGGCGCGAACACGCCT